ATTTAGTAAGAGAATTAATGAAAACCACGGGCGGCAGAAAAAGGTAATCCAAAACCATAATTAGCTTCCCGTCTTCGACCAACGAACAAAGGGGCATTCCAGTCATTCCATACCAAAATCCCCATTTTCGTCGGAAATTACCCTTTTCAGGTGGGCCCGCCAATCTTTTGCCCATCCAAGAAAATCTGATATTTCCTCCAATAACTAGGCCTTGACTGGCTGATCTCCGCAAACCAGCCACCAACTCCTCAATCGCCACCGCATGTCAAACCAACCAAACGAATCTCAACCGTTCAAATTGACAAGACAAATCCAGCCGCAAGATCATGAAAAGATCCAACGGCTGAGACAAAAGCACTAGAACCTTCTCCTCCTCACGGCCCGCCTATATCAGCCAGAGTGCTTGTGCTCTCCCCGTGCCACTCCATAGCTGCTGCTGCTAGGTTTTACAGTTCACTCACCAACCAACAAGAAGCTTTGAAGGTGCAGTCTCTCTCGCAGACCGAAATGGCACCGTTTTCCGATTCCGATTTCTGTTGTATTTTGTCCGAATGTCGATCCGCCGGAAAATCGGCTCAGATCGAGCCGGTTGAGTGTCGGATTATCGATTATCGGCCGGTTTGGAATTCCGATCTGATATTTTTCAGGTGGTTTACTGTTTTGCAGGACGTTTGACCATGGGGAAGTGCTACCCTACCGTGAGCGAAGAGTACAAGACGGCCATCGACAAGGCCAGGAGGAAGCTCAGAGGCCTCATCGCCGAGAAGAACTGCGCTCCTATCATGCTTCGTATCGCGTACGTCTCTCTTTTGTTTCTCTCTCTAAGTCCTTCTCTCTGTTTTTGTGGGAGGGAGATTTGATTGGGTGTGGTGGGGTGCAGATGGCATTCAGCTGGAACTTACGACACCAAGACGAAGACCGGGGGGCCCTTCGGAACTATGAGGTGTCCGGCTGAGCAAGCTCACGGGGCCAACAATGGTCTCGACATCGCCGTCAGGCTCTTGGAGCCCATCAAGCAACAGTTCCCCATCCTCTCCTACGCTGACTTCTACCAGGTAATTCAAATTAAAAACAATTTTCAAAATCTTATTTATGGAAATTAATTTGGGTTTTTCAAAAAATTAATATCTGGGTTTATTTTTTAATGCAATTTATTTGATCTTATAATTTTGTTGTAATTTTGTGTGTAGTTGGCTGGTGTTGTTGCTGTTGAGATTACTGGTGGGCCTGATGTCCCTTTCCACCCAGGAAGGACGGTCAGTAAGCTTTGATTTTCTCCGAATGTTTTAGTTAGAGCTTGTAAATTTGATTAATTACATTGAATATTTTGAGTGAATTACCTTGAATATATTAAATCTTGCTTTGCATTTGAATTATTGTTTGTGATATTTCGATCTTTGATGTGTTTTTATCTGGTCACTTGAAATTTTTGTTAATCTTTTTGCTTCTGATGCATTCAACTATTCAAATGTGTTCGAGGTAGAAAGTTGTATTGCATTTGATAGTCATCTCTTTTCAATGGGTTCGTTAAAAGAGATTGGAATTTCAATCATGTTTGCTTGAATCCGCCTCCATGATTCAATCGGTTAGTCCTGGATTGTCCTCGTTTCCAGTAATTGAGCTCATTAAATCATCGGCCTCGGGTTTTCCAGTAGACTTTATGTATTCCTTTTTTATTATTTATGCATGTCTTGGATTTTTTTTCTTCTTCAAATTGATGCGTTTGTTTTGTAACTTTCGTTTGTGATGTTGATTAGTTTTTAACTCAAGCACGGACTAGTTGTATTGATGATCTTGTTGTTGTGCCAGGATGCCCCCAAGCCACCACCAGAGGGCCGTCTTCCCGATGCTACCAAGGGTAAATATATGTTTTGACATGATCTTATGTCATTGTTTTAGTTTATGCTTCCCTTGCATTGTAGGCGAGGATGTTTTGTCCAGACTGAGTTAAAAATTACTGTTGAAATGCTGTAGGTACTGACCATTTGAGGGATGTCTTCTGCAAGACCATGGGCCTCAGTGACAAGGATATTGTTACTCTCTCCGGTGGTCACACCCTGGTACGTTAACTCTTATTCTCTTGATTTCTTCTGTGAAAATTATGCCAAGTTATTGTAGTTGATTGGAAATCATTTGTTATTTGGTTAATGCACAGTACTGATTTCTACTTGCGTAATGGTATTATGGTATATTGCAGGGAAGGTGCCACAAGGAGCGATCTGGATTTGAAGGACCTTGGACTCCCAACCCTCTTATCTTTGACAACTCCTACTTCAAGTAAGTTCCGTTTCCCTGCTATGTTTACTCAATATGTCTAGTTGCGTTGAGCTACACAAATAATGTACAATGCTGTTCGAATATGTAGGGTGCTTCTTGGTGGAGACCAGGAAGGTCTTCTAATGCTTCCAACTGACAAGGCTCTTCTGGATGACCCTGTTTTCCGCCCTCTTGTGGAAAAATATGCTGCGGTGCGTGTCTTCAGTAGGACTTATTCTTCTGTGTGCTTATTCATCACCTACGTGCAATTACTGATTGTTAAATTTAACCTTTTGCTTTTCAGGATGAAGATGCTTTCTTTGCTGACTATGCTGAATCTCACATGAAGCTCTCCGAGCTTGGGTAATTTTTGAATGACAATATTTTTCACGAGTAGTTCGGGTTTCTTCAATGTTTTTGTCAGTGTGGAATTGGTCTTGAATACGATTTGTTGCTCTAATTTTGTAGGTTTGCTGAGGCCTAAGCATAGCCGGAGAACTACAGGGGTTGATGCCGATGCCTGCGCGCCTTGCTTTTGTTTTTTGGATGCCTCTTAGTTGTTGTGAGGTTTTAGGCAGTTGGTGTTTTTCTATTTTCTATCAGGTTTTAGGGAAGTGGGACTTCTCGGTCGATTTGAAGAACGAATGTTTTTAAATTGGATCGAATGCTGTGGTAATCATCCTCGTTGATTAAATAATACTGTAATTTTCACTTCTCCGGTTTTGTTTTCTATTTGGAAATGTGGTGGTTTGGTTGTCGACGAGAGAGACTCACATGCGCCCCTCGGAATGTCAAGGCATCACGAGCGATGTATGTTAGTCCGCTTGAGAGGTTGCATCGGGATTGTGATAACCTCGGCTTTAAAAAGGGATTAGCAATAACGTAATTCAAATTCGTCTTTGAAGATGATTAAATTTAAGACTTTTTACTTATAAGTGAAAAGGAATACTACTAAATTGTAGTATTAAGTGACAACATTGTACCCGGTTTAACTACTATGTCTTTGAAATGAAAGAAAGGCACCGAAAGGGCTTTCATAATTTGGAACCAATTAGTCTACAATTCCTAATACGTGATTGCTCTCGTCGGACCAGTTGGACCATAACTCCCAAACCAATTAGATAGGTGATTGCTCTCGTCGAACAGAAAACTCCTAAAACGTTTTCGTGTAAAACATATAATTGAAAGAAAGAAAAAAGTGCTGGAAGTTGCATTTTCCATGTGCTTTTGCAACTTTTTGGTCTAGTTGATGAGAAAAATTTATATAACACAAGTACATCGTAACGTGGCGTTTCGTGTCAATGACACAAAAAAATGTCGATAAAAACTTAAATGTATTATTGTAGTACCGTTGTACATGTCAGCTCTCTTAGTTGATTCATGTGGCTTGAAGTTCAAGCTTTCTTTTTTTCTGGGGTGGTTTTCAACAATGTCAAGCTAACTGGATAACGACACGGTTAAAAGCAGCACGAGGTTGCCAAGGTTGACCAAAAGACGGTCTAACACTTTCTGATTTGGGTTGGGCTGTAACTTTTAATTTGGGCTGCAAAGTCAAACCTTTTCGGCTTGGAAGATCTCATCATCACATGATCGACAGGACTCGGCAGGTTGATAGGCCTTAACATATGGCCCCGGCAGATCTCGACATTTCCACTTGACAAAATGCCTTACTAACAGACGGCAGAAATCGTATGAACTTGAAAAAAATTTGCACACTGTCAACATTGGTTTTTTTTTTTTTTTTTAGACAGTTTGACATAACATTGTATTATTAGCTTTAAGTGCCATGGTGACATCTTGAAAAGTGCATGTAAATATTTCTCTTTGTAAATGTTGTGTGACTGCTTCTTGTATCGAGTAGCGTAATACGAAACACATACAAAATGGTAAGATTAAATCAACTTATCCGATAGTGTAATGTCGGTGACAATTTGGTCAAGGAATTTATTTTCTACATTACTATGGTAAAATATACAGAATTAGAATGTAAACCTTTTGAATATGAGAGTTTTAACGAAAAGCCTCACGGTACTGTTCACCTTAACAAAAAATCACATTTTTACACTAAAAAGTCAATTCTGGTACTATTCACTTTACCCTTTATTTTGTCTTTATCATTAAAACTCAAAGTTTTCAAGCACTTTTCATTAGTTTTTCTTATAAATATTAATTAGAATGACAATTTTAAGTATAATTTTATTGATAAATTTTTTTCAACATGATACATTCCTCATTGAATTTCACCCATAACTAGTAAAGTGTCCACCATCATACTATATGTTTTGGTTGGACGGTCAGGAAGCTTTCAACCCAGGAAGGACGGTCAGGAAGCTTTGATTTTCTCCGAATGTTTTGGTTGGAGCCCGTAAATCTAATTAATTATTTTCAAATGCCTAGGCATTAATCGGGACGGTAACCAGCCGTCTAACGCCTAGGAGGCGCTAGGGGGGGATTTTTAGAACATATATCAAATCTTGGAGGCGCTAGGCAAGGATTTTTAGAACATATATCAAATCTTGCTTTGCATTTGAATTCATGTTTGTGATATTTCGATGTTTGATGTGTTTTTGTTTGGTCACTTGAAATTTTTGTTATCTTTTTGCTTCTGGTGCATTCATTTATTCAAATGTGTTCGAGGTAGAAAGTTGTATTGCATTTGACAGTCATCTCTTTTCAATGATTTTGTTAAAAGAGATTGGAATTTGTCTTCTTAGTCGGATTAATCATGTTTGCCTGAATGCGCCATGATTCAATCGGTTAGTCCAGGTTATCCTCATTTCCAGTAATTGAGCTCATCAATCATTGGTCTTGGGTTTTCCGATAGACATTATGTATTCTGTTTTGATTATTTGTGAATATTTTGGATTTTATTTTCTTCTTCAAATTGATGCGTTTGTTTTGTAACTTTTGTTTGTGACATTGTTCTGTTTGTAACTTAAGCATGTACTAGTTGTATTGATATTCTTCTTGTTGTGCCAGGATGCCCCCGAGCCACCACCAGAGGGCCGTCTTCCTGATGCTACCAAGGGTAAATATATATTTGACATGATCTTATCTCAATTGTTTTAGTTTATGCTTCTCTTGTATTCTAGGCGAGGATGTTTTGCCCAGACTGAGTTAAAAATTACTGTTGAAATGCTGTAGGTAATGACCATTTGAGGGATGTCTTCTGCAAAACCATGGGCCTCAGCGACAAGGATATTGTTGCTCTCTCCGGTGGTCACACCCTGGTACGTTAACTTTTATTCTCTTGATTTCTTTTCTGAAAACTGTGCCAGGTTATGTAGTCGATCGGAAATCCGTTGTTATTTGGTCAATGACAATACCGATTTCTGTTTGTGCGATGGCAATATGGTATGTTGCAGAGAAGGTGCCACAAGGAGCGATCTGGATTTGAAGGACCTTGGACTCCCAACCCCCTTATCTTTGACGACTCCTACTTCAAGTAAGTTCTGTTTCCCTGCTGTGTTTTCTCAGTATGTCTAGCTGCATTGAGTACAAAAATCATGTATAATGCTGTTCGAATATATAGGGTGCTTCTCGGTGGAGACCAGGAGGGTCTTCTGATGCTTCCAAGTGACAAGGCTCCTCTGGATGACCCTGTCTTCCGCCCTCTTGTGGAAAAATATGCTGCGGTGCGTGTCTTCAGTAGAACTTATTCTTCTGTGTTCTTATTCATCACCTACGTGCAATTACTGATTGTCAAATTTATCCTTTTTGTTTCTCAGGACGAAGATGCTTTCTTTGCCGACTATGCTGAAGCTCACATGAAGCTTTCCGAGCTTGGGTAATTTTAATTTACAATATTTTTCACGAGTAGTTTTGGTTTCTTAATGTTCTAATCAGTGTGGAATTGGTTTTGAATACGATTTGTTGCTCTAATTTTGTAGGTTTGCTGAGGCCTAAGCAGAGCCGGAGAACTACAAGGGATGATGCCAATGCCTGTGCGCCTTGCTTTTGTATTTTTGGATGCCTCTTAGTTGTTGTGAGGTTTTAGGCAGTTGGTGTTTTTCTTTTTCTATTTTTTTTTCTATCAGGTTTTGGCGAGAATCAAATATAAAACCTCTTACTTATAAGTGAAGAGAAGTATCATTAGATTGTAGTATTAAGTGAAACATTGTACCCGGTATTACAACTATGTTTCAATCGACTTTGAAATGAAAGAAAGGTGCCGTAAGGGCTTTCATAATTTGGAACCAATTAGACCATAACAAGTAAATAGATAGGCTCGTTGAACAGAAAACTCCTAAAACGTTCTCGTGTAAAACATATAATGGTAGTGTTATCTTCTCTACTTCATTGAAAGAAAGAAAAAAGTGTTGGAAGTTGCATTGTCCATGTACTTTGCCAACTTCTTGGTTTAGTAGATGAGAAAAATTTATGTAGCACAAGTACATTGCAACGGGATGTTTCTTGTCAATGAAACAAAAAAAATGTCGATAAAAACTTACACAAATGACATGTGTTTATTTTGTTGGCACAAGCTGTTATTGTACTATTTTATTTATGTCATGTAAGTTTTTCTCATAAGTCGTTATTGTATTATTGTAGTACCGTTGTACATGTAAGCTCTCTTAGTTGATTCGCGTGGCTTGAACTCAAAGTACTTTATTTATTTATTTTTTTGGGAGGGGGAGGGAGAGCTAGGGGGTGGTTTTCAATGAATTCGGATCTTCACAATAAGGATTTCGGAGATTCGTGAATCATATTTGTTCATCTTACATCGTACGGTCAGAAATTATTTTAAATATTTTTATTTAAAATTAAATACAAATAGCAACTAATAAAAACTCATCGCATGATGTCTGTTCAGAAATTCCAGATCCTCATCAAAAGCTGCGAAGAGGATCCTGTTGGGTTTTCAACAATGTCAAGCTGACTGGATAACGATACAGTTAAAAGCAGCTCGAGGCTACCAAGGTTGACCAATTGACGGTCTCGTACAATCACTACTACTTCTTCTTGTTGGAGCGAACACTTTCTGGTTTGGGTTGGGTTGTACGTTTTCACACTTCTAATTTGGGCTGCAAAGTCAAAACCTTTTCGGCTGGGAAGATCTCCGAATCACATGATCGACAGGACTTGGCAGGTTGATAGGCCAGGCACATGGCCCCGGCAGATCTCGACATTTTCACTATGTGCTTGATAAAATGCTTTACTGACATACATAGCAGAAACAGTATGAATTCAAAAAAATTTTGCACACCGCCAACAATTTTTTTTTTTTAAAAGAAAAGTTTTGAACTTTTATACTAAAAACCCATGCTGTATGATTCATGAATCTATCGTTGGAAGAGAAAGTCAGACATAACATTGTATTATTAACTTTAAGCGTCATGGTGACATCTTGAAAAGTGCATGTAAATATTTCCCCTTGTAAATGTTGTGTGACTGCTTCTTGTATCGAGTAGCGTAATACAAAACACACACAGAATGGTAAGATTAAAACAAACTTATCCAATAGTGTAATGCGGTGACAATTTGGTCAAGGAATTTATTTTCCACATTACTATGGTAAACGATAGAGAATTAGAATGTAAACCTTATGAATATTAATTAGAATGACAATTTGAAGTATAATTTTATTGATAAATTTTTTTTTCAATATGATATATTCCTCATTGAATTTCATCCATAACTAGTAAAAAGTGTCCACTATCATACTATAAAGTTTCGAAGACATGATACTTCACCAAACCGTTGTGTCTTCATGCACAAAGTATTCATACATATATGATTGGAGGTCACCAATCATAGAAAAGGAATCTCTTAGGATAATAAACAATGACTAATCTATTAATTTAATTAAGGAACTTTAACGAAAAATCATATTTTTACACTGAAAAGTTAATCCTGGTACTATTCACTTTACCCTTTATTTTGTCATTTTTGTTAAAACTCAAAGTTTTCAAGCAATTTTCATTAGTTTTCCTTTTAATTAAAGGGAAAGACCACTATTGAAAGCATAGTCTCATTTTGATGCAAACAATATATTACAATAAGGGTGGGAGAATAAATTGGTTTTGAACTCGTCATCGCGAGATTTGAACTCACGACTTTACTTACAAGTGAAGAGAAATATTACTAAACCGTGGTATTAAGTGATAAAGTTATAGTCTCATTGGTATACCCAAATAGGTAAAGTTAGTGAATAAGGGAATATTGAATATATAAGAGAGGAATGAATACAGATTCATTCTTGGATATATCAAGGAATTGCATATATTTTTTAGTAATGCTATTTTTATACGATGTACAACCTTTCTAATAAAGGTAAGGTCAACAAACACATGTCAATTTCATCTTTATTCGAGAAATGATACAAATACGATAAGAATAGTATTGTCGTATATTTTTATATCTTAACACCACTTTCATAATATTAGTAATTATCCTAAAAATTTAACAGTTCAAAATTCCAGAGTATCCGAACACCATAAAAAGTTGTGTGTGTATGGAGGCGAGTCGCAATCGTTGATCGATACAAACTTCATGTATGCTTGCTTGGATCCATCTCAAAAAATAGCTCATCGACTTGCAAGCATAAATGTCTAGGTCAAGACTGGTCAACTTTCCGCATTTTCTGCGTTGTATTTCGATCTTGAATGAAGAGAGATTTCTGAGGCCACGTGCCACTTTTAAGCATCGATCTCAACCTAAGTAGGAGTCAAATAAAGCCCTAAATTATCCAGGAGGATCCTCACAAAAAGAATTCAGCGAGAATCCTGAGAATCATTCAATCACATCCGTTCATCGTACATCGTGCAGACAGAAATCATTGTAAATTGTTTTATTTAATATTGAATATAAACAATACTTGACAAAAACTGACCATATGATATACGATGAACGAATGTGATTGGAGGATCCTCGAAATCCCTACAAAGAAGATCTGGCGAGGATCCTCTCTCCTAAATTATAAGAGCAAAACAGTTTCGAGTTTTCTTCATATGTGGTGTAAAACTTTGTTTTCACTCCAGGTAATGATTACATGAGCAGATCGACAATACCATGTGATATGCTGATGTAATGTTACGAATTCACTAAATTATTACATACGAAATTGTAATTTAGAGTTTAGGATTCTATATTAGTAATCGTAAATGTACTGTAATTTTAGTTAATTTTAATTCCATGTTAATATGCCACGTGATGAAAAATTCTTGTTATGTGGTGCAACCGACATGTTATACAACCCTACGGTGTATGCCTCTTTTTACAATGAGCACATACCACAACAAAAGTGTCTACTAATACGAGGTTAATCACCAATAGGTATTAAAATTCTCACAAACATATATCGTCATTTCTCTAAGACCAAACCCAATCCTAGGTTAAAGGTCAAATTTTCTCATTTATTCCCCCTCCCAACACCAACCCAACCCAAGCTAAAAGTTTGGGCTAAAAGCCAAATACCAAATAAAAACCAAATACCCCCCAAGAATGAGCCCAGGATTCGGTGTGGGCCCCACCAGTGTGACTGAAAAGTGGGTTGTGAAACCCACTTGCCGATCCCTCACTTGCCAATGCGCAGAACGCGCCAGAGACAATCACAGTGGGACCCCACCCACGTGGGCTTGTCCCTCGAATGTTGGATAGCCTAACGGCTATATTTGTGATCCAACGGCCGGATTAAATGAGCCGTTGGTTAATCTAACGGCCTAGATTCAAACAATTTTTTTTAGTTTTATATTTATATATTTATTGAATTCAACGGTTGAGATTGAATATAATCAAATCCAACGATAAAAAAAAGGTGTAGCGGCTCAAATTTAAATCCAACGGTTAAAATAATTAAAAAGTTTATTTAACTCAAGAATAATTTACAATTTAGTAATTTTTCAATATTTATTGGAATCTAAATATTTTTAGGTTAAAATGTTCATAAAATTAATTTATGATAGTGTACATAATTTTTTTTTTAAAAATGTTAATTTAAAACAAAAAATTAGTCCTAAATTTATTCTTTAATAATCTCGGGCTAAAATTTTTTTACCAGAAGGGTTGAACATAAAATCTTTTTCTAAGTTAAAAGCTAAATTTTCGGAGCTAAAATTTTTGATTTTTAGCCTAAGGGTTGGAGATGATCTAACAGAGTAAACCCTCAAACCTCTCCAAATCGAAAGGAGAATACCATCATTAGACCAAGTTTAGCTAGCTAGCTAGCTTGAGTCTTCAAGATAGACTATAATTGATTGAGACTTTTTAAATCACATAGAAGGGAATATAATAATGACCTCTTTGCTCAAATGGTCAAGCTTTTTAAAACGGATTTAGAAAGAGAGATTGAAAATATTTGACTTTTGTGCTTGGAAAAGTGCCAATGCTTGCCAAAGTGAATTGCTCACCACGAATTTTAGCATGTAGCTTCATGATCTGCATATCTTCCCAAAAAAAACAAAAAAATAAGAAAAAAAATGAGGCTACATGCATTGTATGAATCTGGTAATTGATTTTTTTAAATAAAATAAAGGGAAAAGAAAAAATAAATTCATTCCTCCTTTTCCATTCCTTTTTGTACCAGATAATATATATAAAAAAAACCAAATTACTTTGACCAAATCTGTTTGCTTACACACTTCTTCTAACCTAATTTTCTATGTGATTAGTCGTGACATGGGAATATGGATAAGAAGTTTCCTCATGAAATCCACTTCCTTGAATGAAGAATTCTGCAAACCCTAGTCCAAAAAGTTTTCCAAGCCGAAATCCTAAAATCTTCCAAGAAAGTCGCTTTTTATAAATGATAAACTTTTAAGCTTGGAATAGTTCACCACCAATACTACCGTTGTATCAAAATTCATTAGAAAGAGATTTATCACAAAACGTCTCATGATATTAAAAATGAAAAGTTACATACATACAATGAGTGATATTTTAATTATATCTTCAATGCGACATTCTATTCTTTAATAATAAATCTCACTTGTGGTATGTGCCTATGTGGAATGGGAGAAATTTTTTATTGTGATAGGAACACGGCTGTTATATTATGTGTTTTTATACAAGTGTTAGGAAATTTTACTTTTTAAGTTATTAACTTTTTAACACATATATCTCATCATGTATAATAATACATAATATACCATTTCGTGTATCGATCACACTAAAAAATCTCTTGTGGAATAATTGGCTGAAAAACGTGTTCTTAAAAGTTGACTTTTTTGTACGAGATTGTTTTACTCACGCACACACGCAAATTCTTTCGCTGTCATCTTTCGAATCTTGTCCTTGTGTGATTACACATGGCTTAGCTCATTGCGGTAAAACTCTTATCCTGTTCTCGTCAATGCCAATGGACACGTAAGCAAGTGATTTGTTCATCTTTCTTTCCTCTTCTTAAAAGTTGACTGTTTTTACGAGATATTACTTTATAAATTAATCAAAATAAAGACAGAAGAAATGCACGAGCGTCTTCAATCTCTCTCCCAACAAACAAAAATTCTTCAAAAACTAATAGTTCTCTTTAAAATAGTTCTAAAACATCAAGCTACACATGAAACGCTGCTCCAGTGAGTCTCAATAAAAATACTTGTTTAAGAAAAATTACTTGAAATAAGATAGAAATAACGCCATCAACAAAACTCTTCAAATTTTGAATCTAAATTTATAGACGGTTGATGCAAAAATTTCCACAAATTAATATATTTCGAGTACCATTGTAGTCTTGTAGATGCCTCAAATTTCCACAAATATATTTTGATAATCCAACGTTTTTAATCTTAGTGTTGTTTTTTTTTTTTTTGGTAAAGCCTATCTTAGTTTGAATGATCATGATCTAAAAGATGATGAATAGTCAGAATTATGAGGTACGTACGTTTGTAGTTGACCCAAAAAAGTGGTTAATGCTTGAATGTTGAATACTAAAAGTTTAAAACCGTGTAAAGGGAATTATTTATACTAATTTTTCTTTACTAGGCTTATAAATTCTAACTAATTATTATGTTATTTCTAAACTTTAAGTAATGAACCCTAGACCACGCATCTCAATTTTTAAGTTTACGAAAAATTGTGGTTATCTAACATAATGGAAAGAGTATGTAAATCTTAACTATTACATACTGTTCTAAAAATTTTCGCCTAGACGCTGGATGACTAGCTACCATCTTTATGAGTCCCCAGGCGTTTGAAAATTTAGACAATGCGCCTAGGTGGACGCTAGCCCACCTCAGCGCGCACCTAAACTTGTCTAGGCATCCGCTTAAGTCGCGACTTTCACTTAGGTAGAAAATTGATAACTTTTATTGTGCATTTTATTCTGTCAATAAAATGTAGGAAACTTGTTGAATACTTGGATGAACACTCATTATATGGTTGTTCACCATGTTTCAATGTGTTCTAATACTTTATAATATGTATATCTTTTTATTTTGCAATTTATGTATCTAATACAATTATGTGGTTTTTAAAGTATAATGGGCATCCAACATATAATAAATTTACTTAAATCCGTCTAGGTACCGCCTAACTACCTAGGTGCTGTTTAGCCGTCTAGGCATTAGGTTCCAGCCCGCTAACCGACTACCGCCTATCGTCTTTTAAAACCTTGCTATTAGAAAGACAGAATCACACATTGGGGTCGTAAGGCTTTACTAAAAGGAACTAAACTATAAAATCCCCACAAAAAATTGAGCGTATAGATCCTATTTCTTGCTTTCTCTTCACTTGACGTTAGCTATAAAATAAATAATAACATCTCTTGTATTAAAAAAGAAATTCAAACAACTGTTTCTCTTTACTTGAAAAAAAAAAACAAAACCAATGCGAATAATAACACATATTTTCGTCTACAACCAAATCCTCAAACGCAGACTGTCCCTTAAAATACTCCAATAAAATAAAATTCCAAACAGCAGTCACAAAAGAAAATAATAAAATAAACCAAAATGATGGCCGTTGAAAACTTTGAACGATTCTCATCCGTCCATCAGAGGCGGCCGAAATCCTAGCCCTCCGATCCTTTCCCCGAAACGCGTCCCCACAATTCTCTCTGGCGCGCTTTCACGTCGCCTTCTTCTTCTTCCTCCAATCTGCTTTAAATAGCGCTCCTCTCTCTTCTTCGTCAACTCCACCACCACCACCACCGACTCAACATATCAGCAGAAAATTTCTAGAGAGATAAACTGAAGACTCCTAGAGAGAGAAAGTCGCGTCTGGGACTCCCAGAGTATTTCGAAATGGCAGACCTCGTTCCCGCTAACGGCGATTTCCCGGCGGTCCCGTCCCACGGCGGCCAGTACATCCAGTACAACATCTTCGGCAACCTCTTCGAGATCACGAACAAGTACCGCCCTCCGATCATGCCGATCGGCCGCGGCGCATACGGCATCGTCTGGTACGTCGTTTTTGCATGGCATCGATTTCTTCTTCTTGTTTTATTTTATTTTTTTGCGATTTAGGATTTTTGATCATCGGAGTTTCTTTCCAGCTCGGTTTTGAATTCGGAGACGAAGGAGATGGTGGCGATCAAGAAAATCGCCAACGCTTTCGACAATCACATGGACGCCAAGCGCACGCTCCGCGAGATTAAGCTGCTTCGCCATTTGGATCACGAAAATGTGAGATTAAATTACTTTGTAATTAATGCTAATTTCTTGTATTAATGAGAAAGTTGCCTTCTTTAGATTTTATTATTTCTAGTTTTACATTTGTTGGTTAGAGATTCTAAAAAGGGAAAATTACTGTATTTAGTTCATTAGCTGAAGTAGAAGGTTTTGGAAATATTTGGAGAATTTTGTAAGAATTACTTGCTAAAAGTAGAAACTTTACGATTGTCAAACAGGTCATAGCTATCAAGGATGTGATTCCTCCACCTCTAAGGAGAGAATTTTCAGATGTGTACATTGCGACGGAACTCATGGATACCGATATGCATCAAATTATTCGCTCGAATCAGGGTCTGTCGGAGGAGCATTGTCAGGTACTTGCTAGTGTTTACATTTTGATTTCATCAACCAAGTTCCATTGGTAGTGAGTGAAATAAATGGTTGTATTATTTGAGGACTGATTGGTGTATGCCGGAATGCTTTGCAGTACTTCTTGTATCAGATTCTGCGAGGGCTGAAATATATACACTCGGCGAATGTTATTCACAGAGACTTGAAGCCTAGCAACCTCGTGCTGAATGCCAATTGCGATCTTAAGATATGTGATTTTGGCCTTGCTCGTCCGACTGCAGAAAACGAGTTATTGACAGAGTATGTTGTCACCAGATGGTACAGGGCACCTGAGCTTCTGTTGAGCTCTTCAGACTATACCGCTGCAATTGATGTGTGGTCTGTGGGTTGCATCTTTATGGAGCTTATGAATAGAAAGCCTTTGTTTCCAGGCAAAGATCATGTGCATCAGATGCGCCTATTGACAGAGGTAAGGTGAATTACAGACAAGTAGAAATAAAATTTGAATTCGAAATGACCCAACTTTGAGTCTTTGACTGCATTATTGAACAATCACAGTTTAGAAGAAATGAAATCACTTAAAGTACTCATTCGGAATTTGTCATAATGAAGTGTTGTGCTCAATTTAGAGTGGCCGCCGCACGTGCATTAAGTACATAGCAATAAAACCCATGATGTTACAGTATTGAATGCTTCATTGAAATCATCTACGTATCTATAGTAGTTAGTTGAGTTCTACTTTCCGCTTTCATCCATGTTCGTACATGACTAAATTATTTAGCTATTTTTGGAAAGCAATATCTGCTGGATGAATACTAATACATACTTTTTATTTTCTATTATAGCTTCTCGGAACACCAACTGAGTCTGATCTTGGGTTCGTTCGGAATGAGGATGCTAGAAGATATATAAGGCAGTTCGCCCCGCTTCCCCGTCAGCCATTGGAGAAGCTTTTCCCACATGTTCATCCGATGGCCATTGATCTCATTGACAGAATGTTGACGTTTGATCCTACTAAAAGGATAACTGGTAATTTCTGTTCCTATGTCAATGTTTTGGTGCTTCCGACAAAAATATGTATAGAATGTTTACTGCATTGAGGTCCTGAATGTGGGTTTTAATTGTGCAACCTGTGCTTCTGCAGTTGAACAAGCATTAGCTCATCCTTACCTGGAAAGACTACATGACGTAGCTGATGAACCAATCTGCACCAAGCCGTTCTCCTTTGATTTCGAGCAACAACCCTTGGGAGAAGAGCAAATGAAAGATATGATTTACAGAGAGGCTATAGCACTCAATCCAGAGTATGCTTGATATGAAAAGCAGCATTAGCAGTTGGTTTATACATCTATAAAGTAGAAAGAGTTGCACTTCCAGTGGTCTTTGATCAAAAAGGTTATTATGACCAAAATGTTGCAATCATCAGTAGGCTGCTGATCAAGTAACCGCGATCGTCCTATTTCATCAATATCGTTACTAAGGTGGGTTTGTTGATTATTCAACAATGATCACACGTCGATTTTAATAGACCTCTATGTTATTTTTGAGGTCAGTTCCTCTTTGTTCTTTTCTTTTTGGCGGTTGAACTTGTATTCTATTTATCTTGTTTGTATCTTTATTTTTTTGTTTTGTTTATTGTTTTGCTGTACCAAAGATGTACCATGTATATCACGATTGTATTGACGGACCTAACTACGATTCAATAAATACCTTTATTCCTTGTGAGGCAAATTTGGGAGTTTTGTTCGCAAATTATCGATCTTTTCTTTGATGGATTAATTTTATGATTGTGACATTCTACTGCTGTTCAGTTCTTTTCTAGTTTGTTGTTCACCAAAAGAATAATTCTGTATCATTGATCAATAGAAAGATTTTATATCAAAATCTATGTTGTAACTTGTGGATTAATAATACCACCACGTGAAATTGTGACCGTCACGCCCACAATTTTGCCTCCCTCAAAATGTAGTACACATGGTCACATTTTTAAATTTTCCTGTTGAACAAACTTAACACATGTATTCTTTGCAGTGATTGGTCCTATTTGCTTTGACTGCAACTCTTGACACTCAGATACAAACAACATTTGTATGCACTTATAATGGCTTGAGCCTTAGCGAATCTCTTGTTATTGATAAACCAAATAATAAAAGAAATACTCTGGCTATTGTGATATGGATAACCATGCCGTAATACTGTAAGCATTAGCACAGAGTTAGTTATGTTGAATTGTGTTTACAGAGCCACTTGTTTCTAACTTCTTTTTTCTTCTTCACCTAATATTTTCATCTTCATTTGCGATCATTTGTCTTTTGCATTCTTGCTATAGATGTTTGCTCTTCTTTCACTTACATAAGGTACTTTGATCTCTGAAACGTTTTATCATTTCCGATCATTCAGTCGAAAGTGTTTATATGCTTCTTTCACTTACAAATACAATTATTATAACTTTTGGAGGGGCCTCTTATTTGTAGCCGTTGGATAAAATTTCAACGGCCCAATGGGCTTGGTCAGGAGGAACATCACTCTTTGCTCAGGAGAGTATCCTGATCTGTATGTTTTGATATGTGTCTAATGTATTGCACAGTCATAGGTAGGGTCTAATAAGTAGAATAATTAAAGTGTCCATAATTTGAAAACAAAATTGCATCGACTGTCGTTGAATGTTTTATCATGACTTTTCCAGAATTAACATGGAACTTTAAGTTACATATCAAATCTCATTATTTCATAAAAAAATCTCATCTTTTTTAGTGTAAAATATATCGTTGTATTAAAAAAAAAAAGTTAGTCATCAAATCTCGTCGTTTCATCAAAAACTCTATCCGACTCATATTTTGAATTTTCCTCGTGATTCCTGTAGATTAGTGTCGAATTTTGAATTTGAATTCGCATGAAGCTATGAGAACTACAAGTCATGTTTTCGTTGAATCATTTACAACAGTAAGCTTCATTTTTTGGTGGTATTTGTTACATGATTCTAGTCTACATGATTCGCGAGCATTATACGTTGATTGTCTTACGTAAGTAATTGCTCAAGGGGCTTTTGACATTGATTGTGTTAGCTTCGGGGGCTTTTAACATTACCAAGATGGAGGACTATATCTTACTGTTAGAATCATGTAGAATTACTTATTCCACCATGATAGGTAGTTACAGTACGATAGGTATTTAACTTGGACAAGTACTTATATGATAGGTAGTTCAAACTGTAAAAGTACTTATATAATAGATAGTTTAGATTATAAAAGATCAGTTGAAATCTAAGTTTATGCCGACTAATATTATAATATGATAGGTAGTTTAGCTTGTACAAGTACTTATATAACATGTAGTTTAGACTGTAAAAGTACTTATATGATAGGTAGTTTAGATTGTAAAAGATCAGTTGAAATCTGGGTTTATGCCGACTAAAAGGGTACCTAAGTTGAAAAAAAAATAGAAAAATAATATAACTAATAGTGAGGCCCCCTAAGAGATTTATAGGCGTCTGAAATTTTGGAAATGTCCTAAATTAATTTTAGGAAATATGTGGTGCGAATAGAATGAATCAAACTTTGGCTTATAGCACACAGTTTTTTGTTAAAAAAAAAAGAATTGAAATTTTTAGCTTTAAGAAATATTTTGCACTGGAGTTAAGGAAAATATTTCAAAATCTTTGGATTCACTCCTACTGATTATTAGGTCCTGAAACTATTTTTTATTGATTCTTAAAGTGAGAAAATAGAAAAATATCTTTAAATTTAGGTTTTAAATCATTGATTACAAATGTTTAAAAATGAATTATAATATATTTTGCATGGAAAAAATATATTTTGAAAAATATGAATATGATAGTTTGTTGTTATAGTAAGAGAAATAAAAGAAACATCAACAAAATTAAAAAAAAAAATAAAAAACTAAAAAAAAATTGAAAAGGGAGGGATCGGTATAAAGATAGCGACGTTTTTGCGAATCAGTCGCTATATTTTTAGCGATTATCCTCAAGAAGAATAGCTACGAAAGTACCGATCGTGTCATTTTCCTTTTTTTTTTCCTTTTTCCATTAAATAGCTATAGTAGAGTAAAATAGTAATCACAATGCAAAGTATCAACCTAACAACAAAAAGTGTTGACACATGGAGTCCTATTCATGGACCTAAATAAAAAAATAACTAAAAATTGGACTTATAATAACTAAATAAACATTTGTATGCACTTATAATGGCTTGAGCCTTAGCGAATCTCTTGTTATTGATAAACCAAATAATAAAAGAAATACTCTGGCTATTGTGATATGGATAACCATGGCTTAATACTGTAAGCATTAGCACAGAGTTAGTTATGTTGAATTGTGTTTACAAAGCCACTTGTTTCTAACTTCTTTTTTCTTCTTCACCTAATATTTTCATCTTCATTTGCTATCGTTTGTCTTTTGCATTCTTGCTATAGATGTTTGCTCTTCTTTCACTTACATAAGGTACTTTGATCTCTGAAACATTTTATCATTTCCGATCATTCAGTCGAAAGTGTTATATGCTTTTTTCCATGCCTTTTTTGTTTTGTCTGTGAAAACATTACGTGTCTAATAATATTTTGTTCGCATTTCACTTTATTCATGAATCAGCATAACTAACGATTTTCATCGCTTGCGATTATTTAGATTGAGTCTATTTTCTCCGGTTGTAAATGTCATATTGTCGCTCTTGGTACGTATAAAAGTTTCACTGTTCCAAATTTAGTTTTATGTCAAATGAGTGTGATAGAGGTCTGCCCCTATGCTCATCCTTGCATTATTTTGGAAGGAAAATTGGCTGGTAATGTAAAATTCCATTGGCTATGCTCATGCGTTGGTTTCTACACTACTTTTGTAAACTCACTGGCTCATTTGACCAATTTTAGGTTTTAAGCTTAAAATGTTCATTGGTTAAGCAGCAAGGTTGGAACTTGAATTCCATATAATATATCTTTATATATAAAGTCAACAATTCCTTTTGGAGTCACAAGCTTCACCAAAAAATTTTGAACGAAAATGCCCCTAAAACGATATTATCTACACTAAATAAGAGGAGATGGGTTTAACCTTACAACGAGCTAGTAATAATGTGATTCAATCAGTTGTTTATTAAATATTATTTTATGTATTCTTAATGCAAATTCAATAGAATGTAGATGAAAACTGAAATACCGATTTTATTATGTGAATTCAGATGTTTTGATTGGTTTGTGAGGGGTTTTTTCTAGCATGATCTAAGATTATTTATTTACTTCAAATATTTGACTTTCCTTTTGTTAATTTAAGCATATAAATACATTTAAAACGTGTAAATCGCGTGTAACACGTTGTGATTCAAAAAATATCTTCTCACGCGCGAGCGCGTGCATGAAGGTTAGTGTGTGTGTGTATATATAAAATATATATTGCAAATTAAACTATATGAATACTTAAATGGGCGACCCTAAGCCTTTCTGTTGCACCAAGACTTAGAAATTGTTTTTATAATTTTGTTTTTGAAATCTAAAAGCTTCTCCATCTTACAGATTGCAAAAAGATACATATTACTTGACAGTTGGAACTTCATGAAGATGTTAGATGTGCTTATCATTGTGGGTAGGGTTTGCTCGTTAGGATTTTTGTCCGCTCGAAACATCTGGAGTTTATATTAAGATTAAAGAGGAGTTTTAGCACCTAAAAAGACGACTCCTGCAGCACTAAAAAGAGTTTCAGGTACCAGAATTTCCACATGTTCCGCTTCCTCACGTTGATCTTACCTTGGTGTCTTGTTTATTGCACGCCTCTTGTTTTTTGAATTGCGAGGCCAAATAAGAAAGATAATCAGAAGATAACTAATGACATTGTGTGCGAATCAAAGCAGCTTAACGGTCCTCTAAGCTCTAAAGAATGAGAGATTTTTCAACGTGACTGGCACACGGGGTGGTACATCATGTGTCATTATATAAATAGTGAGATATGTGTGTTAAAAAGTTAATAACTTAAAATATAAAAAATTTCACCACTTATATAAAAACATGTGGTGTACCACCTATGTTCTTGTCACAATGAAAAATTTCTCCTAAGGACCGTCACATTGGGAAATAGATCTTCTTCGGATCTCTTCCACCAAATCCTCCCCATCAATTAATCTGGATCCTTAAAATAGATCCAACGACTATAAACATGTGGCTCTTTTAAAAATTATAATAATTTTAATCGTTGAATCAAATTTCAAAAACCTAAATTAATTGACAATTTGGTAAAAATATTCTCCGTCACATTGGATCACATTTTAAAGTCTCAGTTGTGTGTGTCCTACATTGAGGATCCTCCTGACCAATCCCATTGGGCCGTTGAAATTTTATCCAATGGCTACAATTATTATAACTTTTGGAGGGGCCCCCTGTTTGTAGCCGTTGGATAAAATTTCAACGGCCCGATGGGCTTAGTCAGGAGGAACATCACCCTTTGCTCAGGAGAGGATCTTGATCTGTATGTTTTGATATGGGTCTAATGTATTGCACAGTCATAGGTAGGGTCTAATAAGTAGAACAATTAAAGTGTCCATAATTTGAAAACAAAATTGCATCGACTGTCGTTGAATGTTTTATCATGACTTTTCCAGAATTAACATGGAACTTTAAGTTACACATCAAATCTCATTATTTCATAAAAAAAATCTCATCTTTTTTAGTGTAAAATATATCGTTGTATTAAAAAAAAAAAAAAAAAGGTTACTCATCAAATCTCGTCGTTT